AGATAATGGCTAAGTTAAGTTTGTGTATGGAGTCGGGGATATATTTGCCAACTGTGCTATAGATGGGATGCAGATTTTGCATAGTCAGGGAAAATATCCTGGAATTCCCACTTAGAACCATCATGTTTAAAGCAAGACATGGACAGAAGGATCACTACACCAGTATTTTTCAGCAGGGCAATACCAGTACTCTCTTTTGCTATTATGACTAAAAATACAAATACTGTTAAGTTACTTAGCTTAAATGGTTTAGGACTTATTAATTATTTTTCCAGACCTTGAGGATGATGACAAAATACAGAAAAACACAGATCTTTGACACCTCCCAATTGCTAAATATTGCAGTTCAGAAAATCTGTAGCCAAGATTGATGGAGAGGTCTGTCTCAGTGCTGCATAACAAAATGTACCTCTAGAATAGCTGTAGTCTAATGACTCCACATTGAAAGGTACCATGCTTCCTTCAAGCATCACTCTTTGAAAAATAGCACTTTCTGACAGGTGGAAGCGAATTATCTTTTCAAGATCTTTCTGTATAATACTTTATGTTTTGATCTACATATTTTGTTGTTTATGGTTTCATACAGCAAACCTTAAATATATTCCTCATTCAAATAACATTTTTGTCTTCCATAATCAAGATACTCTTACTCAAAAGCAACCCTTGAAATACCAGACTTTACATGATATCTTTCTCTGCTGCTTAAGAAGCTTTCTGGAAAGCTTATTTTATCTGTAGTAGAATAACTTTTTATGCAAAACTTTGGATTAAAGTTAAAATTGGTATAGGTGGTGGTACTACTACTCTGCATTTACAAAGAGGTTAGATAACTTGTCCAGGGTCACAAACCCAGTGTCAGTCTGTTCAGGTATCACTTGTGTGGTGGTAAAGTGCAATCCTGATCCCTGAACCTCTGCAAGATGAACAAAAAAATTCTTTTTTATTTTAAACTGTAACTACTACTAAAAGCAAAAAAGAATGCAAAATTTGCTTAAATGGCCACTTTTAGATATGAGATCAAGGGGCCTCACGGTAAGAGGCTGGGGAAATAGGGCTGTAATTCTGTGGAAGGGAGACAAAGACAGCAGGGAATAACCTGCCTCAGGGCATGCTGAGCCATCATTTACACCTGCCCACCTCTGAGTAGATGACTCTTGGAACATTAAAACTTAGCATCAAGTAGGGTGAATCCCATGCAGAGAGAGCCAGCAGGCCATATTCTGGCAGGCTGTGCTACCATCTCTGTACTTTATTTCATAACAAGGCACTATCGACAGACAGCTCACACCAAGCAATCTGTTGAGATCATGCAGATTGTTTTGGAGAGGACATTGAATTCAAGAGGGTTCCTCCTCTAATTAGGCAGCTAGGAGATTAGTCCCAGCTGTTTTTCCATCTACCTCCTTGGACGACCATGCATTACAGACATTTCAAATAACTTGCACTCAAAGTGACTCCTTCAAATAACACATTATTCCAATTTACCTTTCTTTATGCCTGAGGAAAAGTATGTAAGAAGTAAGTATACAGGAGAGGATCAATGATATCTCTCTGATGAATTTGGTAAACTCTAAACAAGAGTTTATTTAGAAAGAGGAGTAGAAGACCACTGCTTTTTGGCTTGAGACAGTTGAACAGGTGTAAACAATGGCTGGGCAGAGAGATCTCTCACTATCTTGCTTTTGTCTTTTCAAATTTACCTTCTGTATCCTGGAAAAGTCATGTTTCCTTTGCAGTCTAGACTGAACAGATTATCTACCCTAAGCAGGAACCTTTATTAGCATTCTCATCAGAGTCTGTCACTGTAAATTCTCAATGAATTTGCCCTCATTGCAGTTAAGGATCTAGTTAATACCAATTGCTGAAGCCATAACTCTTGGCATCAGGACAGCTTATATGAAATGCCAGTTTCATGAAAAGTTCTCTCATTTGAAGGACTTCTTTAGTATGCATGAATCACACTCACCAAACTGAAAACTAAGGACATGCTCAATGCTGAAAATAATAATCAAAAGAATGAAGAAGAGAAGAAAGAACATGGGAAAATTAGAATTCATTATTATCATTTTAAAGTACCACTGTTTGTAAAACATAAGCATGTGAAAGGCTGAATCTCATTTGAACAACCCAATTAAACATTAAATAATTGCAGCCAATTATGCAAATATCACACAACAATATTATTTTGTTGATCTTTTTTGAACAGTCTCAAATTCTCCTAATGTTAGACTATCTTATGTCTTAAATGATCAATTAGGAGAACCATAACTAAGTGATGAAGAATGGATAATTGCCTAGTTATGATGTACCATACTCTTTCTATGTAAATCTGTTGCAATTAAACGAATAGGGCACATGGAGAAAAGATGTGCAGATGTTCTTTTACAATCTATTATTAGCTCAGGGAATACAACAGCTCCCTCCTAAATTTTACAGGCGAAAATAAGGAAAATGCAATACCAAATACTCATCATTATTTACACGTATTGTTTCTGTCCTTTGGTTAATAGGATAAAAAAGCAGTGGCAGAATGCAGGGTAGGACAGCATGAAACATCAGAAGAATTTCCTGTATTATACTTACCTGTCAGCTCTCTTATTTAGGTTTTAAAGGTTAAAATCTAGAACCCATTCACCTGAATCCCTTAATTTGGAAATAAGCACAACTTTGAGTTGACATAGCCAGAGTAAAGCAATTAACCGACATGTTGAAGACAACAGCTACCATATACCCCCCACATGTTTTCATTCTTCTCTTTCTACTAAAAAAGACTAAGCATTTCTGTGGGTCATTCCAGTTTCAAATCTCATCATTTTGAAGTCTCCAGCAACTCCCAGTGTGCAGTAAAAGGAAAGGTGTCACTCTGGTCAGTGCAAGAAATAGTGCAACCTACAATAAGTTAAACCACCTGCTTTCATCGTATTAAATTACTTGCATCCACTTTAAGAAGTTTTATACAACTTTTATGTTTAGGCCACAGTAAAATAATAATTCTAACTGGTCCATATTAATTCTGACTAGCAAACAGATTACTGCTGGTATACTGATGCCTTTCTGGGGATTTTAGATACATGATACCTGTGAAGTCCATCAGCATCCTGAGATGTTAAAGTATCATACAACTACTTTGTCATGCATCTGAAGTTAGACATTTCCACTTTTCCTTTTGCTGCTAAATCCAAGATCAACATAAGGGGACAGATTAGGTAGTTCAGTAACAGGAAGCCACAAGCAGTTGCTCATGACAATCTTTAGAGAGCACCATGCCACACTCCAGTTAAAGGCACTCTTTAGTTATGATGCTTGTCTCGTTGGATAAAACTCTCTACCCCACACCGCATCTTGACATTTTCCCCATCTTAATTTTTCCACTCATCTAGTTAAATAAAAACAGTACCAGCAGTTCATAATACATAGTTAGATACTGAATGAAGACCAGCACACGATACAGATTCAAACGGTCAGAAAAGCAGACACACAATACTATTGCTACTGTAAGTGAAACAACATTTTGTGCTTGCAGTTGTATCCTAAAGAGAAAAGTATCCAATAAATTTTAACAATGATTACATTGTCAGAGAGAACCTTCAACTGTTCTTCATGAAGAGATCAGGTTGGATTACAGTGAAAGGCAGTACAAGTCATGATTTGAGGGAGCAAAAGAAAGTGATGGCTAAGTAGGGGTCGTTTTTAAAATCTGACCAAGAGTGAGCAGGAAAGCCATAAAACTACTTTTTAACGTCTGTGTAAGGCATGGATGGTCCCTTAGAAATTGTATTTTGCCTTTTTAAACTATGTTAACAAATGCCAGTATCTACAAAGGACTTGTAAAGCACAGGAGAGATACTTTTGGGTCTTAAAAAAAATAAAGTGCTAAATATTTCCCTTAATACAGGTGCATCTCTATTGCAAACCATGGCAATAAATGTTTCATTTTTACTTCTTACAGGATTCCATTAGCGTCAATAAAGTTCCACTGGTTTTACACCAAAGTAGCACTTTGGAAAATTGATACAGAATATGATGATCCATTTTGGCAAGAAGTATCTTAAAGCTGTTCAACAAAGCTGTGTGCAAAACCAGAAAGCTAATAAATATCACAAATATGATGCTAGTGAACATTTGAAGAAGGTAGTTCCCTAACTACGGGCTACGTGCTCTATATTGCTTCCAAATGGCATCAAGACAGTATGTGAGAGAACAGCAATATATGAAGAAGTATGTGCTTAATCAGAATAAAATCAGGGTTGGAATGAAATCTCCTTCCTTCTTGTGCTAGATATTTTATGTTGACAACACAGCTTGTTCCTTAATAGGAAGGCCCTGTTAAAGTACATATGTGTCAATGGAGGCTGGACATATTTCACAGCAAGTGGTGAAGGAGGCAAGAAAAATGTTTTGCTGATCTAAATTATGTTACTGGATGATGAAACAAATTCCTCCATCCAAAGGTTTGGTTGCCGTGAAGAGTGGTTCAGCTTCCACAGCCACAGTTATCTACTCATCTTCTAGACATTGACCTTGAAGGCAACACTGTGTCTGCAGTGCCCAGCTCTGTGCTAGGCCAGACAACGGGCAATTCTTGTCTCAGCAGGGCCTGACCCAGCCCTCTAACTCATGTATGGAGAGATGTATCCATCTATCAGAGAGGTATGCACTGCCTGAGCAGCCACTGCATATCCCTATGGAGGTAAAGGCAATAGACAAACAGGGAGTGTATTGCAGGCTAGACTGACTCCCAGAATTTTGGCCTAAAGGACAGAGCTGTTGTTTGGTAGAGTATGCATGAGGGGATCCAGAGGGTTATGCAAACTCAGGAATCTCCCACACAAGCAGAGCATAAAAGGAAAGAGCATATGGCTAAACACAATTGTTTCCCAAACACAGAGCAGAAGGCAGAGTAATGTCAATAGAACCCCGTGGCCAGCTAAGAGGCAACGTCTCCGTTACATGACAACGTGCTCTGCTGGTGGTGGCAGCTAAAACAAACCAAACTGAAGAGCAGTTGAAGAGCGTTTTGCAAGTTTTCAGACTGTACATAAGACAAAAGGAGGCACTAAGAAAACCATTAGGAAAGTACTATTGCTAACATTTAGCACCTCTACCAAGAAGACAGGCTTCTACCAACAGGATTACAGTAGAAATCAAAATGATTGTGTTCACATTCGCCGGATTGTGGAAACAATCATCCTGAGGAGCAAACTGATACAGGAACTATGCTACACGCTGGCAGCTACAGAAGTTGTGGTTATTCACATCTGTTCTGCCTGGAGGGTCTGAACTCTTCCACCTTCATGACACCAGCACTGCCCAATCGCTATCTTCTCTTCCATACTGAAACAAAGCAAAAACACAGTTTAAGAATCAAGGTTAAAAGTAACAGTGTACAATTACAACAGCTTCTTAGGTCTATCCGCAGAAAGATTCATATCCACCACCTGATAGTAGTTTACGTTATTTCCTATACATTTAATTCACTTTTTGCTTTGAGCAAAGCCTAAAAGCAGCTTGAATCTTTATCCATCTTCTGACAAGTAGACTAGGAAACTGTGATACTGATACTCACTAGGGATGACACGGAATAGTCCGGCTTCACTAGAGCTTTCCATCAATTTAATAGCTACTCCCTGAGGTCAATTCACTAATTCATTCATAAGTATGCCCCTGCTCAAGCTCCAATAAACAAACACATTTGGTTTTATTTCTTTTTGTTTTCAGTGTGGCTTTTTATTACAGCATTCTGATTGAATGTGAAATAAAAGCCATCACAAATACCACAGAGTACAATTAGAGAGAATTGAAACCCAAATAAAACAAGTCATCTTTCCATAACCAAACCAACAGGATCACCAGGCAGAAATGAAGGCAACCTACACAAGGAGCTGTGTCTCTTCCAGGGGAGAATACAGTTCCAAGGCAGCACTTCCAGCTGTTAAACTGCCTCCATGTTGTAAAGCTCTTTGTCACCAGTCCTCTAAACAATGCTCCAGGGAGCCCCAAAAACGCACACAGAGCTCAAGTATGTACGTAAAGCAGAGGTGGACAGACTAGTGGCAGATGTAAGTTGGGAGCACAGCACCATTTCCCTCGGGGTCCTATGTTCAGGGAGCTTGAAAATACTTTTCACTGAGGAACAAAGACTGATTTTAGACAGTAGGCTGGAAAGATCACTTGATGATAATTTCTCCAGAGAGGCTAAAAGGAAGTTCCTCCAATACAGGTTATACATCATCAGGAAAGGCAACAAAGGGACATTAAAGCAGAGAAAAGACAAGATCTTCAAATCAGGATGAGCCAGAAAAAACACTCCTGGATCCACAAAGGAACGATACTCAGTGTGCTTGTGTTTTACTCTTTACCCCAGCAAATAAAGCCTCTAACTGACCTCCACATGTATCACACCTACTTTTTCTTTTCACTACTAATTCTGCTGCTCCTGTTGTGTAGTCTGCCTCGTGGTTGACTACGCACTGGTATGGTGCTACACAGGACCTTGGAAGAATTACTTTTCAAAGGATTTCTAGCTTACACTACCAGATGACAGTGGTTGCCTTGGGAACTCTAACCAAGGAAAAGGAAAGAAGAAGAGGTCTCATTAGTTTAACCACAAAGCACTGGATTGCCCTTATGTAAGGCAATTTTGTAGAGGATGGGAACAAAGGAACTAAAAAGAGATGTCTGAGTTTCATAGCACTGCTTCTCAAAGGATGGCACCTCCACCTCCCCCAAATCAGAAGGCATGCAAAAGCCAGGAGATTATTTGTAAGTTTTGCTGGCTTTCGGTATCATCATCCAATGCTCTGATGCTTACTTTGGAAATTAAAAAAAAAAAAGCTGGTCTCAGTTACCATATGACAAGTGCAGCTAACTGGTGGGTCCTGTACTTGGTTCACAACAACCCCATGCAACACTACAGGTTTGAAAAAGAGTGGCTAGAAAGCTGCCCTGAGGAAAAGGACCTGGAGGTTTTGGTTGACAGATGGGTGAATCCTAGAATCACAGAATGGTTTAGGTTGGAAGGGACCTTAAAGATCATCTAGTTCCAACCCCCTTGTCATAGGCAAGGACATCTCTCACTAGACCAGGTTGTGATGAGCCAGCAGTGTGCCCAGGTGGCTGAGAAGGCTAACAGCATCCTGGCTTGTATCAGAAATGGTGTGGCCAGTAGGACTAGGGAGGTGCTTGTCCCCTGTACTCAACACTCATGCGGCCACACCTCAAGCATTGCATTCAGTTTTAGGCCTCCCACTAAAAAAAAAAAACCAAAACATTGAGGTGCTGGAGCAGGTCCAAAGAAGGGCAACGAAGCTGGTGAAGAGCCTAGAGAACAACTCTTCTGAGTGGCAGCTGAGGGAACTGGGGCTGTTGAGCCTGGCAAGAAGGAGATTCAGGGGAGAACTTATTGCTTTCTACAACTAACTGATAAGAGATTGTAGCGAGGTGGGGCTGGTCTCTACCCCCAAGAAACAAGTGATAGGATTATGACAGGATTAGATTGGACATTAAGAAAAATTTATTCATCAAAACGGGTGTTAAGTATTGCAAGAGGCTGCCCAGGAGAGTGATGGAGTCACTGTCCATGGAGATACTGAAAAGATGTGTAGGTGCTTAGGGACATGGTTTAGTGGTGGACTTGGCAGTGCTAGGTTAACAGGTGGACCCAATGATCCTGAAGGTGTTTTCCAACCTAAAGAATTCTATGATTATATGACTACAGTTTGAACTTGCTTCCAGAACTAAAAAGATCATTAAGACGTTATACTACAACCAAGAAGTTTCCTTACAGGAACAAAAGCAGATTTAGCTTCCTTTCCTGATTCTGCCAAAGACTTTGTGACCCCAGACTAGTCAATCCCATCATTCTTTTCAACCCCACACAGGTCCTGTTTTGTAAAAATGAACACATACGTTTTTTTCTGGTTGTTTTCTGGTGGCCTACCCATTTAGATTGTGCAACTTTGAGAAAGATTGGGGTTTTGACTAAATAAATGTCTGTTCACTGGTGTCAGCTGCAGTGCTTAAATGTAATTTATATCATGTAGTATAAACAATATATCTTACCTTCTATCCACCCCTTCCAAGTGGCACCCTGATCTACCCTTCAAAGGGTATAGCAAAATCTTGTTTATTCTCAAAGCATGGAATGCAAAACTACAAAAACATCTCAGTGGTATTTCAGTGAGTATATTCCCAGAGGAAAAAAAAATATCATCTCTAAATCTTCTCATTCAAGCAGATATAGAGGAGAGTGTACTACAACTAATTAATTCATAAGCACACATTACTGTACACAATGTAAATTATTTAATCTAAAATCTTTTTCAGCATTAAGTAATCATGATTTCCACTCAATGACAGGGAGGGAAATGTATATTGCAGTGCTACTACTTCTCCCTCAACTGGCATGAGAAATGGAATCAGTTCTGCCCAGGAGTTTCTAATTTGTCACTCTAGCTCTAGTTCCACTGAACAGCTGTTCAAATCCAATGAAATCCTATTGAGCACAGAAAACTTGCAAAAGAACAATGAGCAGCATGAAAACAGACTTGGAAACACAATTATGAAGATAATCTGAAAATGTTAAAAAAGCCTGTACTGTACACAGACGAATTGGAATAATGACGTTGGACATGGTGCCCTGCACCTCTTGGTCACAAGTTCAAATGCAGGACAATACTGGTACTGAGAATTTTTATTTTTATACAAATGTCTGTTGTCCAACCTGAAATGGATATACTGCCCTAGTTCAGGCAACAGCACAGCACAGAGACCAAAGCTGTGTTTGCCTGTAATAGCCATTGCATTTTATTCTTCAGAACGTGAATGTTCTTTGCAATAACAGCCTCAGACTGTCCAGATATGACAATAGTCCAATGATACTGCAAAGAGGTGGTCGTTTTTTCCTTCCTGGTAGACTATATGAAAGATCTTTGTGAAAGTTCCTGAAAACTCCCTTGACATTTTAAGAATGTTATATATCCCATTTTGTGTGTTGCAGCATTGTTTTCTGGATGACAACCTGGAGTCCCTTTGGATATGAGCTCATCTCTCCACAGATAGAGAAGTTCAGAAACACAATCAGCAACCACTGAGAAACTCCTAAAGGGGAAGGAGCCACCATGCTCTTTAAAATCATGTTTCTAACGATGCAGTTTTCTAACTCTCCTGGCTTTTTAAAAGAAGAAAGAAATCTCAGAGATAAATACATACACAATAGCATAGATACTATACATTATGTATAGACAGTATATATTATGTATATATTAATATATACATAATAGTTCAGCAGATTGCAGGATTGACGGATTTACTCTTGGCATGTAACTAGTGAAGACATGGTATGCACATAGTTGAAAGGCAGAAAGGTACGTATGCATAGCTGTCAAGTGAAAAGGTCCTAGAAAGAGAATGGTTCAAAGCAATCCACACTTTCTCAGTATCCTCCTGGTCCTTGGCTGGGGGTGGAAAACCGGAATGATTGTGGAGGGCATGGGAGGAAGCCTCAAGGAGCAGCCTGGATAAATTTGTCTTGATAATCTCCTCACTGCCAAGGGAGAAAGACACATATTCAAGTGTTGTCTTCTGAAACAGAACCCTGAATTTTACAAGCCATTCTTCTAGAGAAGGCACTAGCTTGCCTCATGACACAAACTGCTAAGGCACTACTTATTCCCACACATACCACCCAACAAGGTGCTAGAGCTGGCCTCGACTCCTTCTGCTGCTGAGCTGTTTCATGACCGCAGTTAGAAGTGATCAGTGAAGAGTCAAACTGTCCACAAACTGTTGAAGACCCTAACATATATTGCAAAAGCACCAACTAGACATCAGAAGGTAACACAGGAATCACACAAGTGCTTTTAGACATTAAAGATGGATAGTTAATGTACTATCAAGTTGGGTTTAATACAGAGCAGAGAGCTATGGAAACAATGATCAGTATGTATCTCAATGACAAGTGTGTAATAAATCTGGGCATTTGTCAACAAAATAAAGTGATGGCCACCAACTGTTATTTTACATAAGTGTGTCAGGCACTTGGGATAGGAAAGATGAAGCAAAACTGTGGTATGTAGTGGAATTCTGGGGAAAGGCTGCTGGGTACTCTCATACATAACTGAGCTGGTAACATGGAATACTGAACCTCTCCTTCCCCCCAGCAAATCAATAAAATCTAGAACCAAAGGTGCCTGTGCTTCTTCCTAGCTATTTGTCCTACTGTTTGAAGAGAAAGACACAGATCCCAAGCTGTTATAGTTGGCACAACTGAAACAACAGGGATATGATGGGAGAGTGTCTCTTTTTGCCCCCACGGAAGTTGGATCAGCCACCAACATAAAGGTGCCAGAATATTGGGAATTCTTTCATCCCTGAGTTGCACCCAGAAACATCTAATACTAGTCTAAAGAACAAGAGATGCTGATCTCATGTCATCCTTCTAGTGAAGATCAGTTAAGTAGTTTTGCTGCATCACTTGAGCTACAAGTCTTACGGTGGGAGGCAGGAGAGGGAAGTAGTTGTGCTGGAGACCAGCAGCTGTGAAAGGTAAAAACAGGTAGAGAAACAAGAGTACAGAAGAACTTCTGAAATTACATGAGCTAGCCTGACTTCTCCTTATCTAAGACTGCTTCACCCTACTTCAATTAAGCAATGAAAAAAAACCAAAATTAATAGCAAGGGATTTGAACCTGGACTGCAGTATAGCACAAAACACTGAATAAATAACATTACACAAACGAGCTTCCTTATCAAGGGATTTTATGTCGGTCAACATATGACAGCAGACTGCAATTCATGTGTAGTTTTTGTTTGGGGTCTTAGAAGAGTCCTGTATCGGATTATTTATACACAGAAGGACCTGTAAAATAGAAATTTTAGGACCCTTTCTTAAAAAGTTCAAATTATTTTATGGGATTATGAAGAGGGAAAAATATATTACCATCCATATCATACACTTTAAGGAGAAAAAAAAAAAACCAACAACATTATAGAATAACCACACCAAATAAAAGAGCCTGTATTATTAGATAATGGTGCCTATAGTACCACTATTAAAATATTATTTTCTGATGTTGTCAAATGTTCACCTTTTATAATTTTATCTGGTTAAAGAAGAGGAAGCACCTTACCTGGATATCACTCAGCTTATTCAGGAAACGGGTTGCTAACTGAGGTCCATTCTCCATAGTTGGAATGTGCAAATGCTGAGATTGAATAAAGGGGAGAGAGGGGGGAGAGAGAGAGAATAACATGTAAAAATAGCTTTGTATACATATGAATAACTTAGACTCATCAAAAAATTTAATTAACAGTTATCAAGCTTTCTAGCCCTCCTTGCAAGTAGGCAAGGACTGTTGTAATGTTTTTTATATGAGGATGTGCTGAGTCCTCCTGAGTTAGATAAGTTGAACTGACATGCTGTTTTTAAACTAAGGTTAATCTAAGCCTTCCAAAATATCTGTTTGAAATGGAGGGTATATTGTACAGACAAGAGCAGTCACAACCTATACAATATTTTTAATTTCAAGCAATATCATGTAGAAACACAACAGGTACATTTCTAGTATTTATCATTTAGCACCTTCATGTCTCTCATATTATCCTGACATCTAATATCAATCCATTTATTCCATTTTATTAATTCAAGAAGCATCACCTAAAAAACATTTACTGTGTCATATTTAATGGAACAAAGCACATCCACACATGCAGCTGCAATAACCCAGCCTTCTGAACTAACTTTGTGCTGGCTAAACAACATCCAGTCTGAATGCCTGTGGAATCCCACTGGTGCAGGAGAACACTCCCATATAGTGTATAGTAGCTGGAAACAGCTGTGCACCCTCCTGAAACAGCTCTTCCATCAGAGCTGTGCTCCCTGCAACGAGGAGTGAAGAGATGAACTTGAGAAGGAAAGAATGCAGTGGCTCAGAAGTTTGGTTCCCTAAGAAAGTCTTTGTCTCCTCAGCTTTCCCATGTGCCTTAACTTTGGAAAAAAATATTCAATAAAAGAAACGGAAGAAAGTATTTTTCTGTATTTTCAAACAGGCTGCAAGAAACTTGGTTTTTGGTTTTTTTTTTTTTTTTTTTCCCTTTTCCCAGGATTTGAGATTTTAAGAGATTTTAACTATTAAAAAATGCCAAGAGACAAGAGGGGAAAGTTCTCTCCTGACAAGATAGCAGTAACTCACTTGGGAAACAACATACTGACACTCTTCATCTTTCCAGGAGCCTCTGGCATCACTCTTTTTTCGTCTCACTTGCTTATTACTTCAGCTGCAACTAATTATGATAAACTTCTGAAGAAAGAAGGGAAAAAAAAGAAAAAAAGAGGAAGATATTTCCCTTACCTTGCCCTTATATAAAATTTTAGAGATAGGACATACAACACAAGCTGTTCCAGCACCAAACATCTCCTTTACTCTGTTCTCTTCCAAGGCAGCTGTCAGGTCACTCATGGTGATGTATCGCTCAGACACTTTAAATTCTCCCTGCACAAGAATAATCAAGTTTAAAATGGCTTGTATTTTTGTTTTCCCACATTGAAACATCTCTGGCAGAACTATTAGCCTAGGGGCAATTGTTCAAGTCTTGGCTGTGATCTTGTGATCTTTTCTATCCTCCCACTATCACATAAGACAGACTGTAATCGTAAGAATGAACTTCAAGGAAGCCAGTGACTTACCAGATACAATGGTTATGATTAAGTGACACTTCCCTCTGATTTGGTACAGAATACCAATATTGCATTAGGGAATAGCATAGCTGCATTTGTCATGGGTTATGTCATACAGGATCTGGCTGCTCATTGTCTCTAGCATGCTAGAATTTGTCCAAAAATTACTCAGTTTTGTCAAGAGAGCTTTGCACCCCACTCTCAGACAATTTCTAAACAAAATACATTCTGCTAATTCCACCTGCAATGCCAACTAGATGTGACATATTTCTTTAATCTGTTGTGAAATTCCACACAGTGGCGTGCACACATCTGTCACACACAGAATTTAACTCTACTGCAGGTATGAGTAAAGCATTCCACACTGGATGCTATTAACATGGGAAATTTTTACTTTCTACAAGTGTTGAGGAATGCGTAGCAACTGATTGAGGGGACATGAAAGAACAAAAATAAGCATCAAACTTTGAAATTTTAATGCCATAGATTGCATGGATTTGCAAATCTACGATCTGCATTGATTGATTTGGTTGACTCAGACTGAAATAAAGCTTGGGCTAGCTTTTGAACATGAAACAGAGATGCTTACAGCAGCAGAAAACATGATTAGCTCTGGACAGGATAGTACTTGGAAAGAGGCAGGGACACCATATATGCACAGTTTCAGATAGGTTAGGGAATGGAGGTCAAGGAGAAGAACAACCTTTGTGAGAGTAGGAGACGCCTAATTATTCAAAGAGACTGAAGTGAGACTGGTCTCTCACAAAAAAAAACCCTTATCAACTGCAAATATCTTTCTGTCTTGTGAAGGATATTGGACTGAGAAGTTTGCATGCATTACTGCACTAGGGGTTTACTAATATCAGTAAAGATGCTTAAGATTTCAGTGTCCACCAACAAGTGGCACATAAACCATGAAGTACATGCTTAACTCTCCTCACTACAAGTTAGGTTTAAGTGATAGAACTGTGTTTCGGGAAGCCTTTCTACTACACATGGCTGCAAACTGAATTAATACCAGGGGAAAAGTATCACACACACCTGTGTTATTCCTGTTACTCCTCCCTAAACATAAGCCTGGCCAAAAGCAGAAGACAGGGGCTTGAAACCTTTGACTGTACAGTTGTCTTATCTGAGCTGCAATAAAACCTTTGAGTACAGTACAGGCAGAGTGAACAGTTTGCTGCATTTCAAGATAGGAGGTATCCCAAATGTCCAAATAAGTACTTGGATAGCTACACTGCAGAACTGGAATCTGGAAGCAGACAGATGACTTCACAACTGTGGCTGGATTTTAGGCTGCATGGTAGTTATTAGAGATAAGGATGGAACCATGAGAACTAAGTGGAGAAATAGTGTGCTGATGACTGCAGTATAGCTGTGGTCATGCATGGTAATTGTCTGTTTCCTTGCTTTAAGTTGCTGGTACCAGTGGATTTACTGAGAATGTTCATGTTAAATACTACATGGAGTGACTTTAACAAGCTTGGTATTGTTCTCTGTGACGGGTGGGGGTATTCTGGTGCTGGTGCTGGGAATCTATGAATTAGCATGGCCTAATTTCCCATTTAGGTTAAGGGATTTGACCAGATTAGTTGAACTTAGATACTGTGGACCAGGAATGCTTACTTTCATTAATATGATAACATGACAGTTGAAACCATTACTGTCAAGGTCAAAACACTCACCCAGTCACGGGCGAGATCCAAAATGCTTTGTCTTGTCACTCCTGGAAGGATGATGCCATCTAAGGGTGGGGTTGCCAGCTCATTTTCTGTGAAACGCAAAAGAAATAGAAATGCTGGCTGAAAAACAAACAAACAAGAATAATGTCTACCAATATTACACCAAACATGAAACTTATTTGTAAGTCAAATGATATCAGAAACATTCCCTACCCAGTAAGATGCAACATTTATGAGAATTCCATAAGAACACAAGTCACAAAAATTCCATCCTACTAAGTTGTTGTTGAGTGTTTGGAACTTTTTGAGAACACTTCAGTGGGTGGGGAAGAAACTCATTTAATCAACTAATAAATACATGGCTAAAGCCTAGTAATAGGTTTTATTCCTTAGTGTATTATGGATTCACTGCATAACTACCAGGAACAAGTGAATGGCTGTCTTCAGACTCAGAGTAGAGGCCCACAAGGGAAATCCATGACTAATAATCCCAGAGCAGACCATGACTGTCCCTAAACTGCTTTATTTCATTAAGGAATATGTGGTTTAGACTACCTACCAGAAATTTTGAGGCCCATTTACTCAACAAGCAAAGCAGTGGAAACTTTGCCAAAAGCCTCTTGAGAGGAGACTTCCTTAAGCATTTTTTGTCTTAGTCTAGGCATTTTTTCTCCCTAATTTTCTCTTTACACAACAAGAAATAAAATAAAAATAAAATTCCAAAAGCACCAACAACTCAAATTGTTCAACTACTTTGGTTTGTTAGCCCATTTTTCTTGTTCGGTTTTGAAAAAGAAAATTAGATAAATGTTCATCTAATATAACTAATGAAATGGTAGATAAATGGTAATCCATACTTCGTAAATACTTAAATTACAACACAGATGGTTTTATGTAGTTTTTGTTCTTCCATCCAACTTTTGCAGGAAATCAGAGTTAGTGTTTTCATTTCAAACCATCACTTTCATTTTAAAACGCCACATAACATACTCAGTGGTTTCTATTATCAGAGACTACTGGGCATTTACTCTTTCTGACAGTGAGACTCTTTTAAGACAGTCTCAAATTTGCATTGAAAAATGAAGACTTCCACAGTCTTTCAGTAATATTCTTGGATTTTTTTCTAACCATTTTCTCTTCCCAGTGAGAACCAATTATCTTTCTTGATCTTACAAGGATACTTTCATGCTCACTAAATCCACACACCATTAAAGTTTTTAATTAATTTTTACCTAGATCACATAGAACAAGATATGTATCTTCCCATTTTTATTGTATCCCCTTCTCCCTACCTGCAAAAGATCATTGAATCTGCTACTCACTGTCCATTCTCTCAGGAAATGTCTGTTACTTTTTAATGCAGTCACCCCTGGATTTATTCATTTGGGTTAGAAGTTTTTCCTACCTATGCTTCCATGTTTTTTGTATCAGGATCTATGCACACATACAGGTAATAAATGTAAACTGCTATTCCAAAATGCATACAAGAGCTGCCCTCTAACAGGCTATATATTGTGCTCTGGTTTGACTAACCCATAGTCACAGGCTCCCAAGCAGAGCAGTGGTCTCTTCTTTCATATACAGTCAGGAACAAGAGCTTTCCTTTTTTTGGAGTCTGTCTAGTGTGACTGCTAATTGTGATGTGTCTGGTCCTACTCCTCACACAACTACCAAAAGAAGAGAATTCAAAGACTTTCCACAAGCTACAGGACTTGACTGATGGCCTAACGTTCTGCATTTAGGACTCAGTCGTATGCAAGTGCTCCCCTTTCTCTAACAGAAAACTTCAAATAACGTGGACCTTAATACCAGAGATTGTGAGCACACACAAGATAATGTTCTCTGGTTTATGATGTTGCCACAGATCTTGGCCAGAACCTGTTTAAGCTCAACAACACAGACTAATTGATTTGAGCTCGTCTGAAATAGTGACAGGCCTACCCAGCCACCAAACAACATCGAGCAGACAGGACATGGGAGTCTCAAAATGCCTCAAACAGGCTGCTCTATAGAATTTTGTCAAGTATACATATGATGCCCACCAGCCTGGGGCTACCAAAGAACATCTGCTCCCCTGGTATCTGGCAGAGATGATAATGCTACACAACACAGCATGCCAAAAGCTTATCCTCTCTGTGAACTGATGCCAGACCAGGCTCCATATGACATCAGTTTGTCCATCTCTAAGAAAACAGACTGTGAGTTCACAGACTCCATTTGCCTTCTGAATTATTTGGATGGGTTAGAAGGCTTAAAATGCATGGTAAGAAAAAGAGGGGGAAAGGCATTTGAAGGAAGATGTCAGGGTTCCTCTTCAGTTGACTACTGTTATTATTATAGTAGTAGAATTATCAGTCCAGCCATGGAATAGGGATACTGTAACAACAGAATTCCATCGAAGTGTTTAAAGGGATTTTTAAAAAGATGTCTTGCATGTCATACAGCTTCCTTGCTTACACACCTGTGTTTATGAACATAGAGCAGATAAGATTCCAAACGGGATGCTTTCAGTACTAGCCACACTATGACAAGGATGAGAAATTCACCAAAACACACTTTACCAAAATGGTAACAGATACCAAGCAAACTTCAGGGTCAAAGAGAACCCAGGAAACTGACATAAAAGTCTTCTGACATGAAACTTTTAACATATTAATTTAGCTAAGCTACTTTAAAATGAGCACTATTAATCTCCATTTTAATAACAGGACAAAAATATTAAGTAATGCCTAAATGTTATTCACAATGTCTTGACATTAAAGCCAGAAGTAGAGCCAAGATGCTTCCAAGTCATTCTGAAGAAACTGAATTTTTGGAAAGTGCACATAAATTTCATAATTAGCAGCCTTCAGGTTGGACATATGTTTAAACGTTTCCCATAAAGTCAAGCCTATATTCTAGGCAGAAGAACAGACACTGTATTGAAGGAAGTGAGTTTCAATGTTAACAACTTTTTGAGATTATGTGCTCTGAAGAGGCAGGTGGAAGGGACCGTAGAGTGACCAAAATTTTCACTAGCTAATGTAAAATGTAAAAAGTATTTAATGAATGAAATATCACACTCCTGTACTTATATAACAGCAGGGATACAGATCAGGTCATATCATAAGCCTCAGCCAGAGCAACAGTGGGTATACAAGAAGAGCATAGAGTATGTCATGTTATTTTACCAGAAACTGAGTCGTTTCCTCCCCTACTCCCTCCTCAATGTTAAAAATAAAAATTTTTTCCAGGCTCCTCCAGCTGCCCAAGACAACATGTCATGTTTAGATACAATGCTGTAACTGAAAATATATAGCAAAGGCTTACAAGAAAAGCCTCCTCTCATTGGAAGTATGGATGTCTTTTAGTCTAGGTTTTACTGGGCTGCATCCTTGTTATAAACCAAGGAGAGCACATCAGACTACTCTGCAGTGACCTCTGAAAACACAAAGAAGGACGTTTTCCTATTGATGACCATCTGCAATTTCTGCCTCACTATTTTTATGTTAGATCCTTCTTTCAGCTGCAGAATTTGCATTACAAAAAACTATGGCCTAAGTATCCATTGTGAAGTGACAGGACAAAATGACAAACACTTTTTAAATGACCACGTAAAGCCATAGGCAGGTATGTGACCATGCACATCAGCAGCAAGAGTGATTCTCAATCAAAGATGTCATAAATTAAGCATTAATCAACACACCAGAAGACAACAAAGTGTTCCAGTGATGCTAATGACCATGTTGTGTGAAATAGCAGGTTTGCCAGTATACAGTTAGATTGGGTGGCATGAATTACAAGTTGTTTGCTACGGCCACCTCACAATAGCACTATTCAGCAGAGCACTGGTAACGCTGTGATTGGCAGATCTTTGGAACAGTACGGTGCTGCAGCTGGATAATTCCAGCATATTCCTGGTTTAAGTACAATGAGAACATTGAATTCTAATTATGTCCCCTCTTCAGTGTCTTTTCCCTGGGCAGACTGAGCCAAAATCTATTTTTGCGTCTCCCCAAAGTTACACAAGGCTTGAATGTGGCCATCTACCTACACTGATGAATCTATTGCTGCTATAATAACAAGATTTCTCATATTTACAGTTTCTTTCATAGACTCATTCAACACTGTGGAACTATCATCTCTCTTCTTACAAAAGTCATAAAGATTTTGCAGAAGAACGAGTAATGAAAGTGGAGATGACGGTCAGGTAGCTGGATTCCCACTACCCTACACTATCCAAAATACACTGCTGACCCCACAGAACTGTACTGCAGCTGAGCACTGTCAGAAAAATGTCACTTCTCAAGGTTGCCCATGGCACTACGATGAAGTTAGAGTCTGAACCCTGCATTTGCAAAAATTCAGTAAAACTTAATTTTCATAGAGGGCTAGCACTCATGGAAGTCAGGAGGTGTCCTTTTATTCACTTGCCTATGTATCGCCTCCTATGTAACCTATGTATAACCTGCCTATGTAACACCCTCCTTCAAGATCAAGCATGGTGCTAGAGTTGACACCAAACCTGCAGCATGGTGTTGTGCAAGGCTGCCCTTCTGAGCACGTGGACTGGCCCAACAGTTTAATGTGCTATCAGTAGACACAACTCACAGCTGCTCCACAATCTCCTCTTTCACAACGGTATAACTAATTGTAATTGTAGTAACTAAACGGTATAACCTATCAGCTTTCAGCAGGGACCAGCTGCCTATTCTGATAAAGTTTTCAGGTTTTGTGTTACTATACCTCCATCTTCATTTATCCAGTAGAGAAACAGATTCATTGTTCCAACTTCGGTTATTTGGTGATCTTCTCCATAGAGCCACAAAACCTGCTGGCAGCCTAACTCCAGGGCTTCTTGCTGGGCGTAAATAGAAGAACCATAATTCCTTGAAGAAACATAACGAAAGAGGAATCAGTTACAAGTATCTGGTTAGGTATTTTCACATTTCTGTGTGAGTTTTTGTGCACATCTACCTTATGAGCAAATGCTCTGCCCAGTCACTGTTTGTCCCTGGAATATTTTCATTAGAAGTGCTGTAATAGTATTTTACTAGATCAAACTTTGAAGTTCTGAACAGCATCAGCAGCTCAAACACATCCATTCAAATTGTCTTAAAAATACCTCTTTCCATTTTCTGGACGTTCTAATCATTGCAGTCAGACACCTTAGGAAAGCATTTGTTTAGCAGTTGGCATCTTGGAAAGAGACAAACAATTCCCATCCAGCTTGTGATTTTAAAAAAAAAAAAAAAAAACAAATCTATCTACCTCATCTCATATATGTCAGATGAACAGATGGGTCATACGTGTCATAGGAGCCTCTTGGAACACAAGAATCACCAGAGAGAAGTTATTGCTTTCCTAGTAAGACATTCACAGAACTAGCAGCTTCAGGAGCTGCAGATGGGCCTTAATGAATTCCATATCCTTGAGGAGCAACTGCTTTCCTAAAATGCTGCCTATAAAGTGAACCTGGCAGAATAATAGGTGTTTACTCTGTGGTTGCTATGAGGGGGTGGGGGGAATCCCTTTAGCTTCTGATGTTCAACAGCCATCCAGACCCAAAGACAGCATCTCCAAAGTGCTGACTCCACTGGAGCTAAGTTCTCACCTCTGTGCACAAATCAAATCAGTAGTGAAGCCAGACATTCCTTTTTTTCACAACTGACATATGAAGGATGCATAGGAAACAATATATTTCTAAAACTAAGCAACAACTCATAAACAAAGAGCAAAGGTCTCAGAACATGAGACTGAACAAAGTAAATCTGTTTTCTTGCCCTTTGCTTATTCTACTGGCTCAGTGGGGCAGCACTTGACAACTACTAACTTCCTGCCTAGAAGAGAAACTCCTAGGTAGAGACAATAATGTGCTTTGTTTATATCAAAGACCAAGGTTGTATAACCAAATCATTTATTTAGCCACATCCAAGTTGCTTAATCCAGTCAAGTCCCAAGAAGCTTCACTCTAAAAGTCAAGTGCTTGGTCATTAACAATTGCATTTCTACTTAAGTAGTGCTTTAGCCTAGTTCAGCAGAAAACTGCCAGACTATGGTCAAGACAACACAGATAATTGTCTCCTGCTCTCTCTTAAATGCATGTTCTCCCCCAGCTAACTGGAGAAGGCCTGGCAGGACAGCTTGCCAAGGAAGGAGGTCAGCAGTCACTGCTGCTCACTGCCCATTTGGCAGCAGGCTGCCATACTGAATACTGCATCCTGCACCAGAGAACTGGTATCTTTAGTGTCAACTCCTGCAAGGGGAACAGTCAAAGTATTACATGGAACCTTCCAGGTCCAGCTCCTCAACCAGAAATGCTGCAAAATTGCCTCTGCAAATAATCCATCTGGCTATAATATCCAAACAAAACCACACAACTGAATGGTATAAATACCATTTTCCAAGTACAATTTTGGAATCTTTGTTATAGTGCACAGGTTTTTTTAACTGTTACGTTTTATATCTCTGCTTCTGCTGGATTAGATATTTCACTAAATCCCAAATCTTCTTTGTGGGCTATGTAAAGGCAAAGATTTACATTTTCTTACCCTCCCAGTTTGCAGTCCCCCGTTCCTCCTTTCCAGGCTCTTACGTATTTTGGATCTGCCCACAAGGATATTGGATTAAAGCTTCCACTTGCGAAGTAGGGGCCCACAGGGCTCAGTATGACATACAGTAGGGCTTTAGTTGGCTTCTTCACTCCAAGGGAGGGCTGAAAAGATGGAATGTAAGTAAATCAAAAATTACTGGTATACTTTACTCTGAACATCAGATGCTGCACAGTTAGTTTTGGAACACTGCTTTCAAAGGAACTGCAGCACACGAGTGCTTTTACCTGGGCAATGCAAAGTGCTGCAATGAAGTGAGGATATTTATATCACTTCCCATCTAAGCAACAAAACAACCTTAGTTTTATCTATTGTCACCATTCATATACAGCTGTTGCATTCATCTATGTATTATTCTAATCTTCTCAAACAGTTTCAAACTTTTGAAAATTCATAAGTTACCTTAACAAGATACTGTGTAATTATATGAATTATCCACAGCAGGAGGCTGCAAAGCCTTCTGGGTGGAGCAGTGGACAGGACCATTGCTAGCAATAACAACAGCAGCAGAAGCACTGAACTCAGCTACAAGAGTGATGAGAACTAGCCAATGCCATTCAGAACTGGCATTGGTAGAGTTGAGTGTTGGCTCTGTGAATGGCTGTGTGACAAGCTACAATGATTTGCCTGCTGGAAATGGTTCACACAACAGCACAGCAAATAATCTGGAATGTGTAACTTTCCTCCCCACCTCCCCATCCCTGCAAGATGGCCTCTCACACTTGTTCAAGTCATCACCATCCATACTTGAAGGTGGAGGTGAAAAAATCAAATCCAAAATCTGAATCTTGTAGTAGGAGACTGCTCAACCATATGATTCTTTGCAAAGCTCAGGACTAGCCACAGAATCACAGAATGACTCTGGGGATCACCTTGTCCAACCCCCTCCTCAAGCTAGGCTACATACAACTAGTTGCTCAAGACTCTTAGGATCTTCTATGCAACTGAACAGATTATTATTTATCATTCCACTCAGAGAAACAAATCTTGTAAAAAGAATAAGCTCATCCTTTGTTTCTATGATTAGGTCTCCACTGAAAAAAAAAATTATTTGACTTACTTAAATCTTTAGGACCAAAGGCCTAAGAAAGCCACTGTACAAAAACCATATGAAGCTAAACTGGGAAGTAGGAGGGAAAATAATAGTGCAATAACAGAACTACTGGAAAATTCAAATGAACCCTTTTCAGAGCGGGTGGTTTTGATTTCTGTCTAGCTTATTCCTTCAGTAAAACTTCTAACACAAGTAATTAACTGAGGTCTTGATATTTTTCCTGATTCTAACATGATCATTCAAAAGATCATGCTGGCTGGGTTTCCTAATTGTGCTGATTCATTAAAGATGAGCAGGACATGCTACCCAGAAACAATGTATGACATCACAGAAAGCACAGATATGTTGGCTATCCTAAAACAAAACAAAGTTCCACAGCAGAAGAATTTACAAAAATTGGGGGACACACACACACATACAATGCATCAGTTTTTAATATTAATACTTTACAGTCACAGAGTGGAGATCCTTCCATCTGAAAATCTGCAACTAGCTTACAAGCATTAAGTTAATGGAGTCTTGGAGCATGTGTGAAATATGTAATACTCATGTATGGTAACTACTTACAGATGTGGATATTGCAGACTAACTTGCCTAGCTGGAAACCACACATTCTTTAGCTTCCTTGTCCTATGCTCTACCATTATAGGTTTCTCTCTTGCCACTGCTAAAAAAAAGACCCTTCAATTTTTAATTAAAATAAGCTCCCTGTTTCTAATTCCCTTTATAAATACTATAGGGTTGATTCACAAGAGTACACACTAATACCTAGGTCAGGTTTATCATGGTTCAAGAATAAATTGTCAAAAGAACTTATTCTTAGTTGTATGCAAAGTCTCTCTCAGTAGAGCCATTTTAATTACTGGGTAGAATCTTCCAAAATCTCCTTGTTAAGGTTGGGGTGTACATATGAGAAGAAATCACAAAATCTACCCAGCAAATTTCTGTTAGCTCATATTTTGCCCAAATTATCACTGTTTAAAAGGCATACATTTCCATGTCACAAATACCTATTCTTTTAGTACAAAACCAAATGAACCCAAATTTTGCCCTTAGCACTGGGAATCGAAGTTTGCTTTCTGTGATTTGAATCACTGTGCCCACTAGGTGGTGGTGTGGTCAACGTAAATTTGTGAAGTGGCCCAAACTTCAGGTGACTAACTCAAAAAGTAAAAACATAAATACAATTTACCCCTGACCTGCATTACTTTTCTGTAGTGACTACTGCACATTTCCCTGTATGGATGGAGGCTTTTGCCTTCTGCTTAAATACACAAAAGTTAAGAGAGGAAGAAAAAGGTTGCACACCTCAGTTCCAATTAAGGTAGGACGGATGTACAGGCTGGCAGTGGTCGAGTATGGGACCCACTCCTTTTCCACTTCCACAAGCTTCCGAATGCACTCCAACAGCTCATTCTGGTCAAAACACTGGGAAGGAAAAGCAAAGGGGAAAAAGCAAATGGAGAAATATAGCCTGAACACTCTGTGGTCTTTATAGATCCATATTTTAAGGGGAACACTTCATCAGGACACATAACAGTGGAAGTCCAGAGGTTCACAGGACATCATCTTCCTTGAGTTAATTTCTTACAGAATTTAAGATCCCATGGTTTTTGCCATTGTGCCTTTTTATACAGTATCCTGAATTTCCCCCTTCTACTACAAAATATCCTCCTGAGATAGTAAAAAGGACTCATTGACCCTTCTTGCCTTTGAAGCAGGTGGAGAGAACTCCCTGTGCAGCCAACACCTTCACCTTGGCATGCTGCAAGCTACAGCACCGCCTCTTCTGCAGAGAGTGCTTTGGGTTATAAGTCTAAGGGGCCCACCAAGTCTCCCAGTTTGACAAAGCTGCAAAGTTCTTACAGTAATAAAGGTAATAAGTGTGGGAGAAAATACATGAGCCACTATGCAACTGTTAAAAGTACTGCCAAGTTGCCAGTATGACCAAAAATGAAGGCACTCAGAGGATGAAGGACTTAACTGAAGTGGCAAGAAGAAAAGGGAAGACATTAGCTCTGAAACAATTTCATCATCTGTCTGCAAGCAAATACCTGCAGACCAGCCCTCATCCCTCAGAAATAGGCTGTGTACACACCTGAGACAATAGGGAGACAGCAAAGAATGAAAAGCACATCTCAGACAGTTCCCTTCACTGAATGAGATCTCTTAAAGTCTAACTGAACCATTCAAGAGTTAGAGGGTTTGATAAATATTGCACTACTGTAAAGTTTCAGAGCTTTGCCCTCTGGAAATGAAGGTCTGCTCTGACTGAAGGAGCCTGAGATGCCATGGCCACGTACTGGCAGGGTTGCTCGTCTTGCTGACCGTGCCATCCTGTCCATGTTGAGGGCTGGGCGGAACAGGCGGATTTTGCCATCCACTCCTCGGTAAGCCTTCATTCCTTCAAACAACTACCAGGCCAAAAAGGAGAGAAAATAAATCAATTAATAACTGAAACACGTTATCCCGCGGTGATCTGTGCAAAAGCAGAACATAGCCTTTGGAAATAAAAGAACTTCACTTTCCTGCTCACAGTATTCAAAGCCCAGATGCTAACTAGTTAATCCTTGTAACACACTCCTGTGAGGTAATATTATGAAGTCTATATTACAAAGACAACCTGTCTATGCTTCTGATATATCTTTCTCTGTCAGGGGACTTAAAGATAACCATTTTTTTCATAGTCTAGTTACAGCAATTAAAATTTGTAGCATGTGTTTGACTTAATTATTCCCTTCACATCCTAACTGATACCTAATGCTGACCTAAAATGGCATTCTCCTTTATGGAAAAGTTCTATGGAATTAAATTCTGCATGTAAATAATTTCACAGAATGAGGTAATTAAGGGAACTCTGTTGCAGTTCTTGGTGTAGTTGTAGAAAAATCTTGGTCACTATGTACCCCTGTGCTGCTGAAGGGGGTTTAGCTGGCATGAGAGACAGATGCATCAAGCCTTACTCTGGAAAAAGAATGCATGAAAATGTTTTATCTGTACCCTACAGGAAACTTAAATTAGTCATAATTATCCCATCAAACTGCAGAATCCAGATGACTGGTGTTGATAATAAATTTACAAGAAACGCTTATCCCACCAGTGCCCTCCCAGCAGAATCTTCTGCAGCATCTCCTAACCACAGCAAAAATCACAAAATAGCCATAGTTATTTTCAGTTATAGATTGAAAATGTCCAGTTATATCTATAGACAGAAAGCACATATATTATACAAGCTCACATTAATATATACATATTTACAGGTATTACTTAGGCTAAGTATTGAAGGATCACATGCTTAAGAGTTCAGATTTTTAAAATTTATTTTCTAAATAATTTCTTTATGCACTAAATTTCAGTGTAAGTTCTATGAATTTAACTGCAACACTACCGTTGTTCTCTTCAGACTTCTCCCGACTGCCTCACAAAAAATGGCTGGAAATAAATTTTATGTCGTTGGAAGTCTACATATGCATTTTTTTTATTTGGAAAAAAAGAAACCTGTATTTGTATAGATGTAATTTTAGTAGGCTATTCAAGGTTTCACTCCTATAAATTTCTGTAACATTTTCCCATAAGGATCAGTGAAATGCAATGTTTAGAAAGCTTTTGTGCAGTCCCGTGACAGAGCTAGTCCTTCCACATGACAAATTTTAATTGGGTTGTAACTGGGTTGCAGGAATCTCGGCAATTTTACTTAGGCTATGTGCCAACTAAGTAGCAGAACCAGAATTAGAACCTAGAACTTTCAAGCCTTCAAAATCTATCTTATTTCTATGGCAATGCCAACCTTATTAAATGCTTTGTATGTAGTTTTAAAAAAGAAACTCTTCCTAGGACAGGCACTGTAGCTAGAAGAAAAAATTTCTTTTTTTTTTAATTAAGAACGGCATAGCTGGTGATATAGTTAATACTTTGACATGACTTTTATTGGGCCAGTTACTAATACCACATTTCTGCAATGCTACTTTCTTATCACAGAACAGTTGTTTCCCCCCACCCTTCTCCCAAACACATTCACAGAACTTTTAATGAGAGGGAAGAGGAAGGAATGTTACTACTAAGATTTGATGAATGGTTTGAGAGAAAAATCACATCATTACTGAAACACAAAGCCTTCTCGAGCTGTTAAATCTTTTTCTCCAAAAAGAAATAACTTTCAACCTTCCAGAGCTCAGTAAAACCTTTCACTCATTAAAAAGGGAGACAGTGATGTGTTCCAGAAATGTTCAACCTGCATAAAAGCAACTGCTGTGGTTGCTTGATGTTTGGTTGCTACATTGGTGTGCAAACAAGATTATCTGACATCTGTACATCACAGGAGCTAGATCTGGAGTTAGCAGATCCAGGCTATCACACTGCATCATGGAGGGCAAGGAAAAAGGGGAGGGAATGCCAAATGCATCATTTTTGTTATACCCACTGTGTATTCATTGAGCCACAGCATTGGCACCAGATTCTCCTCTGTCTGTCCTCTTGGCTAGAGGAAACGTGATGCAACAAGGGTAAAAGAATAAAAAAAAAAAAATTGAAAAATAAGAGCATATTCATATTAGCAATGATCTCAGACTGGGCCAGAGGCCAAGCATTAAAGCAATATGCTACTAAGAGTGAAACATAGAATTGGGACTCCAGCGTGGTTTCTTACTTCTTGGGCAGATCAAGAGCTGCAGCCTTAGTCACAGGTGCCTGTTGTAATTTGCACAGGACCTTTGGAGGCTTGGTGACTAGATGGGGGAAAACCAACAACAACAAAAAATAGTGAAGGCAGGAGCTCAGGGATAACAAGCAGGAGAAAGCTTGATCCTTCCCTTATAGCAGTGGTTGGGGAAAAAAAAAAAAAAAAGAGAGAGAAAGAAAAAGAGAAGAAATACTAAAAAAAGCACAAGCAACTCCACTAACTCCAGTGGAGACACTCCCACCTTCCATTTCAGCATATGCGCCCTACTGAAGCTCTCACACACGTGTGAGTATAGCCAAAGCTGCCCTGCAGACAGAGAAGGCAGCTTCAGGCAGCAAGCAGCTAAGCACGGAAACTGTTAACCACGCTGGTTTCCGACTTAACATTTCACTTCCCAAAATTCCATGCTGTCTATTCTCTGCTTAAATACACTTGCGTATGCTGAATGCATCAGATCCAGTTCGGAGCTCTCCAGACTTGTTTGGGGTTGCCAACAACCATCTGTCTAGACTGTCCTGCAATCCAAGGTCTGAACCTTTAAAATGATTTTCCCAAAGTACATGTTCAGTCCCCTGATGGAAGCTACTCTTGGAACCTCACACAGTCTTATCCAGTGCTTTGATAAGTTACGTCAGAGACAGTAACTGGACAGATCCACTGTCAGCAAACAAGAATGCTTTCCCAAATGAATTTGTCACCATACAAGAAAGGGCTTCGTTTTACTGTGCCAGAAAGTGGGGTTGGAATCTACAGGCCAGAGTTGCTTCTGGGAATATACTAACATAAACATAACCCTGTTGTAAATAACATAATTATTCTGGAAGGACATCAGTTAACAAAACAAAGTGTAACTCAGCACTAATAAACCCCAGAGGGTAACAGTCCTTGTTTAACAAAGCTATGGCTTCAGGAGCTAATGAAACAAACCAGCAGTTTCCAAATCAGTTCAGTACTCACTTCCACAGCGTAGTGCAGGGATGAGGAGGCTGGATGCAGCGAAAGGTTCTCAAGTGGCTTAATGTAAGGTTTCTCCCATCCTGAGGCCAAGGACCATTCAATTGTCAGCATGTTATCAGTGAACACAGTCCCAAATACCAAACCACTGGGGTCTGGTTTTTCTTTGAAAGTTGTAGCTGGGGTAATAATCAAGTCTGAAGCCTGAAAGAACATGAAGACAAACAAGAAATGTATAAAAATAATTAAGTCAGACTGATTTAAAAACTATTCTGTATCAGTGAACATGGACAAATGCAATATTTTATCTGTGGGGACATTTAATGACAGAAGGGTTGACTAAACTCTAAGGAGTTGTCAAAGTATTCATACTGTGTATGCACACATATTCACAGTGCTGTTTATACCAGAAGTAATCAGCATATTTTGAAGCACTGTTAAGTGGAGGAAATACTACAAGAGGTAAAAATGGAAAATCAGCAGATGAAAATTGGACATTTAAATGTCTAACTTAAATCTAAACTAAGTTTTGGACATTTAGATTAACACATCTATACAACTTCCAGAAACACCTAATTGCTTCACCTCAGAAAATAAGCTGATCATCACAAATTAATCCCCCTTGCAACTAAGTAGATAGGTTGCACTGATTTGCCTTTAATGCATAAAGCCAATGTGAGAGATCAGAGTCAGCAGATTACTTGGGTCACACTATCTTGTTCATTCATGTTCATAGTCTCCTAGAAAGATCTCATTGGCAAAGAAAACGAAATGTTTCCCTGCATGATTAACTGTAGAGACTTTCTCTTACAAGCCATGACTAGCTGCAGAATTGCAGCACAGTTTTTTGTACTGTTTTTGGCTGGGATAGAGTTAATTTTCTTTGTAGTAGCTCACATGGTGTGAATCATCCTAAAGAAATGCAAAGGAAGAAGGAGAGCAGGATGTCTGGCCCTTCACTCCCCTGTTACACACAGATAGAGGTTAAACAACTAAAGAGGGCTATGAAGTGGGCAGAGTCTTAATCCAACCTCTCTATTCTCTTTCCATGCCATCTGAGCATTTAAGCTGTGCTGGTCAGAGGCAAGGAAGAATTCAACAAGGAATTGTATTCAGAGCTCCATTTTCCTTCCTAACATGACTCAGAAAGCATTGACCCTTGTTACAGACCCCCAGGTGAAATCTTACTCCTCCACACTGGGTGCATACAGATTAGACAGGAACACAGGTAGTTCAGACTATTGTTCAGGGGATGTGCATGTGCACCAAAAAGGCAGTGCTGCAAGGGATGTCACTGACTCTGGCTTCTCAGACCCAGCACACATCTTTCAAATTGAATAGTCAGTCCCAGACTTTTGAAAAAGAACACATGCACCCCTGTCTCTGTAGACTACCTGATTTTCAAGATGTCTTTAATGAACAATGGCCTATATTTTATTGATTAGCTGGTTTTGGTTTGGGATTTTTTTTAGCTTAATGACTTAGATGTGAAATTAACTTAGAGCTGGAACACAAAAGTAGCTAAAAGCTTGTGTCAAACTATCTCCAATTATAGGGCTTGTCTAGATGTTACAGTGCATTAGCCTGTTTGAACTAATACATAATCTGATGAAGCAACAATTACTCTTCTTAACTCTTTATGATACTCCTTATCCTGCTGATGATGAATGCTCCAACAGGAAAAGCACAAACTAATGATGTCCTGAAAATAAAAACTAATTTTACCTGACAACCTCTTACCACGTGCATTGCAAAAAAACTTATCAGAGAAGAGCACAGATCAAAATAAAAACCACAAAGAAATCTTTGCAATGATCCAAAATGTACGATTCAGCTCAGGAAAACACACAGGAGCAGGATGTCAGTGGGGCTTAAGTGAAGGTGCAGGACACAAGTACATCCTTGGCTTTATCTCTGGACAGAATCACAGCTTCTAAAGAGCTCCTACTGCCACTGGTATTAACAGCTCTCCCTGAAGTCAAGGTTCTGTCTCATGCCAGGTCATTTTCATTAAGGTACTCTTACAATAAACTAGCCTGTGCATCAGAATTGTCATGTGGAGTCTCATGCCCTAGAACTCTCACCCGTGTGCTGATTTCTCCTTTTATGCCTCAGTTTGGTGCTTTCTCATTTGTGGTAGCAAAACTAGTTGAAAGGCAGCATTATAAAACAGTTTGCTAAACTCACTGGGGTTAACAAACAGCTTTTACTTTAAGCATGGGGAAAGATTTTAACCTGGCTCTTCTCACAGGCCTCCAAGCACATGTAAAAGGAACAAGCTGCAGCCACACGTGAAGAACTGTGATCACTTGGAAGCATTTGGGCCTTCTTTTACCCAGTTTTGCCACCAAAGATACTTCTCCAGTTTGGAAGACCTAGTGTCCAAGAGACCCTTAGACAGAGTCTCTGTCATCTGAGTGATAATAAAACTATGCTGACCCAATACAAGGACACTGTTATGCTCTAATGGTTAATACAAAGGGGGTTCCACATCCAGAGTCACTCTGATGCTGGCTCATTAGAGATAAGAGGTGGGCCAAGCTCTCACAATAAAATGGGTGCTCCTGTGTGATGGGTGGTCACACAGCAGTGACTGTGGCTCAGAGCAGTAAGCCCACACTGCTTAGCTCTCAGTACCAAGGACTGGGGACTTTCTGCAGTCACAAACAGAAGTCACTGGAAAGGATTTCAGGTTGAGTCACCTGAGGGCAGAAAGTCTTCAGAAGTAGGTGGCTGGGATGCTTACCCAGAAAAGAAACAAATAGTTTCTGGACCACAGAGCTTCCTGGAGCTTCACACTTCAAACAAGGAGCCCACCTGCTGTTTCTCACCTCCTTTAGCAATTAGGGAAATCAGCTTTCATTGGGCATTTTGCAGCCACCCAACTGAACAATATCAGGTACAACACTTGACCTGGAACACTTCCTTCAAAAAACACTGGGAATACCCTACAGCAGACCTCAAATATAGACTAAACTGCACAGACCAGTAGGACAACAATTATTAAACAGGCAAAAAGGCAATTTTCCTGATCCTTAAAACCCTGTTAAGTTCTTAGGAGACGCATTTAGGATTTTTTTTGCCACTACTTTCTTAAGGCTCTTCCCTTAAGAGGGAATTCTTATTCTTCCTGAAATAGAATTCATTCTATTGTGTTTTTCTCCATCTTTTAGTGTAATTTAGCACTGCAAAATCCCCCAAATCTTTCAGAATCCTTTTTTTTTTTTTTTTTTTATGTCAAGACTTTATGAAGCATTGCAATACATTCCATCTTTTTTCTTCCATGGAGCGGGATGCAGGGAGAGGGGCATTGGGAACTGATCCTTAGCATACACTCTCTCACAGTGTGGTCTGCAGCACAAAGTATTGCCAGCACCCTCAACCTCTTCTAGGTCCTTGTGTAATAAGATTCCCCCTTCACAACATCTCACCTGGCCCAGAGACCCTTTTGGCTTACCTTGTCCCAAAATCCTGTCCCAGCATTTTGTGGTGCTGTTCAAGCAGCAACAGCAGGAGGAAATCCAAACACTTAGGAAAACCCAGATGAAGACAGCAGAGCAAGGCCAGGTGACTAATACCAGGAGTACTGATTATGTATTCAATGCCTGTTACTTTAATATCAGTCATTAAAAAAATAATTGAAGTGCTACCATGGTATCACACATGACCTTTACAAATGGCAATTTATTTCTTGTCAACATTCCTCCGGCCTTGAAAGCAGCATATTAAGGATCATTGGGGATTGGCATTAGCACCTATGGAGGTCTCTGCTGTTTGTACCACCAATAAAAGAGGCAATTTTCAGCTAGGTTTTGTTTTGCTTGCTTTGTTTACCAATGTGCTCTCAAGCACCTTCTGATGCTGCTGCCTAACAGAACCATTATACTGGAAGAAAAAGCAATGAAGGCAAGAACCAAAAGGATAAGGGAGCTAAAGAAAGAAACGGATGTGGCACACAGTCTACTGAGTGCAGCTGTTTGGCCCTTGTTGCCTAAAGCCAAATGACAGAGACGTGGTTTCAGCCCTGCAAGCTCCCCACGTGGCAGCAGTACAGCATGTTCAGGAGATGTGTGCCCAGGGCACTCGGGTAAGAAATAGTTAGAACCAGATTGCCCTGCCTGTGGCAGACAAACAGGAGAGGTGGGGAAGCCAGCTGGATACTGAGGATTTTCAGGGCTTACCCAGCAACATTACACATACAAACAGCTACTGGCTCAACCACATATATTTCTAATATCTCATCTGAAACGTGACGGCTGATTCCAACACAACTTCTTCCAGAGAGAAGCTCTACCCAGCCCAAGTAAAGCAGATATATTGGGACCTCCTGAAACTAAAATTCGTCATTTGATCAAAATGGATCTTGTCAGTTAGGAGCTAGGGCAAATTAAAAGTGATGTGCCAGTCAGTGTCAATTTTAACCAAAGCTGTAGCAAGACAATCTGGTGCCCTTAGCCAAGATGTCAGTTTAATGCCTATTCTACCAAGACTTTGCAATAGCCTTGAGTGGATCTGGAGCTGACAGCAGCCTCTGGCCAGAGCTGTTACTCTCCTTACCACATTCCTGCCTTTGTTTCCCTAGAGAGCTGTCTTGGGTAGGTACAGAGAGCAAGTGCATATTTTGTCCTACTCTTTTGACCAAGTTTTGTCAGTGCCCTCCTAAATGATCCTTGGCCGTGGTTATTTATCCTGCACTGAAACTGCTAGACCATAAGCAGTAGGTTGAGCAGCTGCAACAGTTGTAAGTCATTTGACGTACCCAAAGTCTTTTTAACACTGTTCTGGGTGAATTGCTTCTATCACTTGAGTAAAAACAGAACTGGCAGCCTCAGCTGTAAAATAGCTTACAAGTTACCTAGCTATAACAGCAAATTTCAGCAGAGATCCTCAAAACATTAACATTTACTCAGTGAGACTGACTGTAAGCTGTTCTGATGAAATAAGCAACCTTCCTGACTTCTAGTCAAGGTGATTCATTCAAGATCACAAAGTGACTGCAAATATTATTTTTTATTACTTATGCTGCGTTTGTAAGTATATTCCAGGAAAGATCAGGGCCTTCTGATGCAATAACAGACATGGAATGTAGGCAAAACTGAACAACTTGTTTGCCCTTGCACTTGTGAACTGCAAAATGTGGTTGCAGTAGCAGAGAAAACTTTGAGAAGACAGGTTACAAAGACTGTGAGGAATTATTATAAAGG